AAAAAAAAAAAACAATTATCTTATCGAAATCAGAAAGATATGCCTCAAGGACGTTCTATAACACCACAATGATGTAACGGAGTTTCGACATGCGGATCTTTCTTATAATCAAACTTTGATGATGATGATGATGATGATGATGATGTAACATTTTCAAAAGTGAAAATGAAAAGAACTATATCACGTCACACTTGATTTTCAGGCACCTTGATCACATTGGGAAACAAGAGAGGCGATTTGAAGCATTTGTGGACACGGGGGGAACCCGATAGGCCTTGTCCGCACGTCCAGCTTCAAGAAGACGAACAATAACATGTTCTAAGCTTGGTGGTGCATGGTTGTCGTGTCGATTTTAGATTACAATTCCGAAGAGTATGTATTTGTACGTTGTAGAGATATATACATAGCAGAAAGAAAAAGTTTAAAAAGAGTGTAGCTGTAGATTGTTGCCTGGTCTCCTTTCCCTAACATGAGAGAGTTGCTATATGGAATTTGTTGTTAAGAGTTGAAGCTTTCAGTTTCAGTTGTGTTGCATACTGTTTATACTTAATTGGCTCTATAATACTGTACATTCTACTATAGTTTAATTGATTGACATGAAAATTGCCATAATAACATATAGTATGAATTGTTGATTTTTAAAAATGCAATGTGTTGAGACTCAAAAACCGCAGATTCTGAAGTGTATAATGAGTTTCAGACAGGTGAAGTTTACGAAGGGGACTTTCATAGACCCATCATCGAACTTCATCTTCATTTTGCCAAATCGAAACTATTTGACCCGAATGTTGACTTGGGGTTGTTTTTAATGTTTCACCAGTTAATTACAGTTACAGTGAATCGGGTATGTGGTCGATAAACACATTAGATTTTACGAGCAAATAAATTCTCAGAGATAAGCTCCAACAAATCATGACAACTTAATACTGGAGCCAAAATTAAGAAAGACCCACCACCATTCATCTGTTAGATCACATAAAACTTCCTCATATTTACAACACCTTCAAATTTGAACTCACTTGGCTGGAAATATTCCCAGCAAATGAGACTCCTAATCCATACTTTTTCCACAAGTTCTTCTACAGAGAAAGGGTAACAAACACAATACAAAAGGCCTATCTTTAAATCTGATGGGCTAAAAAGAAGAAACAGTGAAAAGGGGGTGAAAAAGAAAAAAAGAACTAGACAAAATTGGCTATGTTGGCATCTTAAACACATTCTTTCCCTTTATTGTTCTCTTCTTCTGGATAAAGATGCATGAGGCGACTTCAAAAGTTAAAAATGAACTCTAACAAATAACGAACATCCAAAAAATTGTGGTGCAGTCGAATGTCAATTCACGGTAACGCATGTTTCGTCATCTTGGGAGACCCATCAATCAACCAACTTTGTTGGTTTTTGCAAATTAGGTCGAATTTTCAGTTTGAAATTGATTAGGCGTTTCAACAGATCATTTCTGGTGCTGATCTAAACCTGCGAGAAAGAGGAGACGTTAAGTTTTGTGCAATAATAATTGGAAGAAATAAAAGTTCTTTGCAATAATATTAAGGCGCTCATATACGAAATCAAGGACCTCGTGAGAAACAGGCAGAAAAGGACAAAAAATAAGGAACCAAAATATGCAGTAGAGCGAGGCATACTGCTAACTCTCCTAAAGAAGGAACCATTTCCATTGACAGTCAACTGTAATGGGCTTCTCTCTTGACCTAGAGAGAGGATCTCTTGCATTCTTTCCGGCCAATCTGAATTTAACCTTCTAGCAAAGTCTTCCACTTCCCTGATTAATCAAAAAACAAAAATAATTGCCGCTAAAGATGTATAGAGCTACAGGGACCAAAAAGCATTTTAGGGTTCCTTTGAGCCAGAAGACACTAGGGGATTGAAATGAATTGTCCCAAAATACATAGTAGAGAAAGAAGTATCTTCAAACTTTTTAGGGGGTCAAGTACATTAAACGTAATAATTATATGAAAAATATTTAAGGATTTGATAAATCATTTATTTATAAAGAACATAAAATGAATTTGAAGAAAATATATGTCTGAAGCACTTAGATGCTTCTAGCTCACCTATCGATTTCTTCTTTCAATGCAGGGTCAATATCATCATCTAAATCACAATCATCAAACTCATCCTCAGCAGCTAACCCATCATCTTCAAAGTGCACCGACTTTGTTTTGTTGCAAATGTTAGTCGAAACCTTGCCACGTAATAAAGGATTACCACACATAGAATCAAATTCATTTGAATCAAACTGAGGTAACCAATCATTTCATACGTAAAGTCTTGAAACAAAGATCAAACCACATATGTAATGATCTTCACCTTCTTGTCCATATCTTCAACATTGGTTGAAGAAGGGGTGCTGTTTGAAGTACTAGTGCAGTTAGAATTAGCAGTTGTTTGTTGATCTTTCCTCTTCCGGTTCTTCTTTTTATTTTTATTAGAAGTTCTAGTCCCCTTAGAATCTGCAAAACCATACATATCAAAAGTTTCACATTCAAATATGGAGACGAACAGGTAAAGGAGCGAAATCGGCCTAGGTTCAATTCAGTGAACAATATCTTCACTTGCGGTAGTATGGAGACAGAAAAGTGAAAGCAATGAGCTGCGAGAACATAAGATATGAAAAAGATACAATAAAGCTCAATATCAGACTAAAAGTCAACTAAACCTGGTACCGCAAACTTGACTATTGAAGCAGAGTGAAAAAGTAGAGTAGAGAAACATAAAACTTGTATGTTGAAACAGCTCGAATACCATTGCCTCCATTAATGAATGATAAGAGGTCATCCACAGAACGATTATCTGAGCGTTCCTCTTCAACCTCAACATTCTACAGAACACATGAAAAGCCATTTCTCAGTCTGAAGTAACTCACATAAACATCGGTTAAGGCAAGAAAAATTCAAGCTGCCTATTCCAATGCTAGGATGCACAAACCTAGATAAAACTGGTGAAAAATATATAATGTTTCACTACTGTAATCACCTTTGATCTTTCTCTTTCCTTTAACTCTTTCCTCTTCCTAGCATACAATCTGTTCAAAAGCCGAATCCTCGGATCATCCATGGTGTTTCTTATAGGCTCCAACTTTTCTTCCTGTATCAATAGGATAGCATATATAAAAGACAGATGAAATTGAAAGACATTTCTCTCCCAAAGAAAAAAAGAAAAAAAAAAAAAAAGATAATAAGCATGTACACTGCTTGCAAGGACAGAACACCTCTGTTAGATCGTCAGGAAGATGGAATATTTTTCGTATCTCTTCGGGAGTTTTCCCCTCAATCACCCGTGCAAGAGCACGACTAGTGAGATCAACTAATGGTTTCAGCTGCAGGCTGTCAGCAGCAGATGTGAGTTCACAAAGCCTTTTAGTGTCCATTCGAACAAACTTCTCATCAAACAATTTTCTTTCCTGCAACGGAGTATAAAACAGCATTAGCTGTGATAAATGTTTAAAATTAGATTTGAGGGGAGAAAAAATACATGAAATTTGTAAAGTTAAGAAATAGTATTGACCTTGTTAGAACGACCTGGTACTTGATGAAACCGGCAGTAGTCGAGGATCAGGCTCAGGATAGGAGGATTGACCCTCGAAGGAAGAGAGATGGGGTAATTCTTTGAAGATCCCATGCCTGAGTGTATTTTTTGACATATAAATGGGCAATACATGGCAACGTCTTGTTCTACTTGCTGTATTGAATCATCAGAAGTTTGAAGCCAGACATAGGCCTTCAGCATCTAGCAATGTGATCAATAACCACGAGAAAGTGAACAGATGTTGATCCTAAAACTGAAACAACAAGCAAAACTATTGCAACGGAGGGATATTGCGGAATTACTGAATAAAAAGACATACTGAGTATGTTCACCAAATAAAAACGAGAAAATATATGCACGAGAAAATGAAGATGCTAAAAGTGCGGAAAGTCACGTAAAGCATACCTCAGGTTTTATTATTTCACTATCCGCTTCAGTCATTGTACTCGAAATGTGATGAAGAAAAATTCAATAAGTAAACTTTCCAACTATTTTCCTGCAGCAAAGAATACAGACATTAGTGTTATGCCTATAGTCCTTGCGTCATCTCCAATAATGATCAATATCAAGCCTTCGGTAGTTTTCTACAAACCAAATCTCACAAACTTTAACTGAATACATCATATGGTGCAAAAAAATATCAGCGTTTCTTCAGATGATACATAGGCATGATTAGTGTATAGTTTGTATAAAACTCATTTGGCCATTCCAAAAGGCTAATTGTTCTGCAGTCCCAAGAATAATGAAATCCTCATAATCAACTCTATTTGATCGGATATGGATTTGGTTCTCGATGCTTCAATACGTTCATTGTATTATACTATTGTAGAAGGACGAGTGATATTCAATCAACTCGAATTAGTCTCTCTCACTTCCTATACTAATTTGAAGGTCTTCGCAGCCAACAGTAATGAATTCAAATGTCCTTCCCCACGAACACCCCATAGAAAAGTAGACAATTAACAACAAGGAAAAAACATCTCCACCAATCCAAACTCAACGGCACACCAGCAGAGTCCATATGGACCACTGTCCCAGATGAAAGAATGGACTTTCAGAAAGGCAGGAAGAAGTAAAAGATCGAACATTTACATTACTGTTACAGATATGGACCATATTTATCCAAATATCGAGCCTACCGATTAAATAAAAGCCAAAAGAAAGCCTGCATCGCATTCGCTTGTCAAAAGCATAGCAAAAGCTCACCTCACACACCACACACACAATCGAAAACAAGCAATGTATCAAAATAAACCGATAATGAAAACAAAAATATATGTTAACTGACATTCTAATTAACCAAAGAATCACCAAATGAAATGCTGCTTAAGGTAAGCCGTAATCCCTCATTTCAACCCAATCCCTATCAATCCTATTTCTAATCCAACAAATTATCTAATAAAGCACACAAAAATATTCGCAAAGCCATAACAGATACATATTAGAGAGCTCAAGAAAACGAATTGGGCAACATCATGAAACAAAGACCAGCTCGCCCCGTCTATCAACTAAAATAAATAGCATAAAAAATGAACAACTCCAGAAAGTATAAAAAAAAAAAAACAAACCTTTCTTCGCCCATTAGTGAAGCACATAAAAAAAAGGATAAAATCCGTACCTGAAACTGGCAACTACGAGCAGCTTCTTCTAAACAGAGCTTGAAATTTTCTCTGCACAGAGCTTTGAAATTCTGGAAATGGCGGTCGCCCGCTAAAACACAAGAATCGATGAATTAAAATGGAGAAATATATTTTTCTGATTCCGTTTAGAACACAAGAATCGATAAATAAATAAATGATTCGTTTATTTCATCTTACTTATATATATATATATATATATATACATATATATATATATAACCAATCACTGTATTTTTGTGTTGATTGGATGCGTTTTCAAGGTGAAAATGCAGGTGAGGCTTACGCCAGCGACTAATATATTACGTCATATTTTGGTTTTCATGACTCCCATTATTCCATTTATTCAAATTATTTTTTTGTTAGAGTGACCAAACACTTTCGTTTAGAAGCCAAAAATAAAAAATAAAAACTAGTTTTCTTTTTTAATAAATATGAATATTATTGTTAGAATATTTTAACAAACTACAAAGTAAACATAAATATAACATTTGATGATAACAACGTAAATTTAAATATGACATTTGGTGGTATTGGTATATATTTTTATGAACATATATACAACATTTGGTGATATTAATATGTATTTTTATTAAAACATTATATGACGAATCGACTCGTCTCACCAGCTCCCTCACACAATTATTTTGTCTTATATTTATAAGTATTTCATAGTCTATTTTAATCTTTTTACACTTTTTCTTGTTCCATGCAGGATGTTGGGGAATGCAAAACATTATATTATCATCTTTTTATTTTTATTTTTTAATTTAAGTGACTTTTAAATTGCAAAAACAATGGAAAAGGGATTATAAATTATTCTCTATAGTTTTAT